CCGGCTGTCGCTTAACACAACCGGCACATCTCCATTCCCGCAGGACCCCACCAAGCTGCGCTACGGCTGTGGTGTGGCGACCGCCGCACAAGTCAACAAGGTGTCCAGTGACCTTGCAGCTCTGGAGCCCAAGGTCAACGCCGCCGCCGCCCAGGCCAGCTCCCTGCAGGCCACCGTTGTCCAAGGCAACAACCAGACAGTGGCGCTGCTCGCCGAGATGGACGAGCTCAAAGCGGCGGCCGCGGCGCTCAGAGCCCTGGTGCAAAAGCTGCAAGCCAGCGCAGCCAACGCCACCAACCTGGGCCCCATCACTCAGGAGCTCGCCGCTCTTGCAGCGGCCGACACACGCACCGCCCAGAAGCTGGCCCTGCTGGAGGCGGCAAACCAGACCGCGGCCCAGGACATCGCGGCGCTCAAGTCAACTTCGCAGCAGTGCGCCTGCGGCTCCGAGCTGTCGGCTGTCAACACCTCCCTGGCCGCCATCCAGTCGGTCCAGGCGGCGAATGCTGCGGTGGTCTCCCTGGCCAACACCACCGTGGAGTCCCTGAAGGCCACAGTCACCACAGGCGCGGCAGTCATCGCCTCGGTCAACACCAGCCTCGCCACCCTGGCAGCCACCGTGGCCAACGTGTCTGCCATTGACTTGAGTGTCTACGCGAAAACTGCGGACCTGGCCAGCATCAACGCAGTCAGCCTGGGGGGCGTGCCTGCTGCGCAGTACCTGCGCTCGCGGGTGGTGATCTACGTTGAATCTTCGACAACCAGGAACGGAGGCCGTGGCGGCCGGTCTGGTGCGGACGCCTTGTGCAGCGCCTCCATCAACCGGCCGACGGGGCTCACCCAGGTGCACGCGTTCCTATCGACATCTGCATCTGACCAGATTGCTGATTTCCCCACAAAGTATGGTGTCCCCAGCGGCCTGGCAATCGAGTCGCCCAGCGGCGCCGTCCTGGCCCGCAACTTCACAAGCATGCTGGGAGGCAGCATCCTGCAATCCTTCAAGGTTGCGGGCATTATTCCATCAGCTACTTCGGCTTCTGTGTGGACTGGCAGCCAATCAAACGGAGCTGTTGCTAGCACCACTTGCGATGGATTCAACAGCGGTAACTCTTTTGATCGGGGAGTCATCGGGTCACCCAGCGTTACCGATAGCGCATGGATCGCAATTGTTGGAAACACGCCTTGCTCTACTATCCACTTCATTACGTGCATCGCTTACTAGGCTGTAAGCAAGGCCATTGCCATGTTTCAGGAAGCACGCAGCTCGGCGCTTCGTGACAAGTATGCGCAGCCAGGACTGATCTGCACACGCCTACCTGCACACCTGCCTCGTGGGCTTCACCCTGTTGCAAAAGGCGACAGCAGAGTATGTGGATGCCTCCGCGCCCCATTTATTTTTCGTGTGGCTCTCTCCCGAGCCCGGGCATATCACGTGCGTGCCTTGTCACATGGCAGCTTGCCACACATGCGCACGCCTGGCACCTGCTGCACACCCGACGACGCCGTACGCCCAATAGCGTCGCTTGAAACGACGGCCAATTCTACTTATCAAAGTTTGTAAGCATCGGGATGCGGCCCCTGGAATTTTCTGGGGCCTGGCTGCGCCGCGCGGCAACCAGGAGTTGTTCAGATGGCGCCGCTAGCAGCGTGGGGTTGCTGGCCGCATCGTCAAATCATTATTCTTGCCCGGATACCTCCACACCGACCAGCTCGGGACCTCGGCTCGTGATGTTGAGTCTCGCGATCGCAGCAATAACTTCGACCGTTGCGTGCATGACCCTTTGCAACGGTCGTCTTGGCTGCGACGCGACAAGCGTCCCAGAAGATTCGGGCATCTCAAGCAGAGCAGGGCCATTCTTGCTGCAGGGGGCCCGTGTGCTTCAAAGTGATGCCCGTGCATAAGCGTGAAGTGGGCACTCAGCGCAGCCGCGCTGCTGGCAGACGGTTCGCCAGCCAAGGCAGCGCCGCACATTTTGTCAGTGCTGATGCGATGCACGATACGGCAGCGGCGCGCGTGCGTCAGCAGGGAGCAAGGCGAACCACGGCTGCCGCCATGCCCTGGTCTTCTCAAGCATGGTGACACCACTCTATCCAGTCACGCGAGCTGCGCAGTGCACGTGCAAACGCGGCGTTGCGTCCCCATCTGGCAGCCCAGCAGGCACGCGCTGTGCCAGACTTTACGCGCGTCTTACCCGCTTTGTGTGGTTGTTGCTGGGACCACCACTTTGTGGGCAATTCCGCAACCACTTGTTATGTTTGTTAGAGGATTTCAAGGGTGTTTGCGCGCTTGCCTGAATTAGCTATTTTTTGGCCCATCAGGGTATCAGTTGTGGACGGCAGCGGCGTGCGTGCGTCAGCGGAGGGAACGGTGTGTATGGCACACTAATCAATGCCGCAGTTATTCCATCCAGCCAGAAGGCAAGGCCCGCCGCGCACATCCCCAGGAATATCTGCGACAATTCAAGGGTGCCGGACACTTGAGTTGAACACACCGTGCAGCGAAGGCCAGTGAGCTCTGGTGGCGCCGCTGGAGTCCGAATTGGTGTGTGACCCGCCGCTGAGCGCCTTTGGGCGGTTTGTTGGATGCAGCTGCGCTGTGCTGTCCCGTAGCTCAAGTTTAACGGGGCGCGCCGCACTGCAATAACACTGCCACGAAACGTTTTGGCTTCGCTCTCCACCACTAGAAGGACGACGTGTTGGTTGGAGGAGTCGCGCAGTCGAGCGGAGGGCAGGGCGGCGACGGCGGCGGCGCAGGCGGCGTGGCAGGGGTGCCGTCCTCCCCCGCTCCCATCCTCTACGCAGGTCCGCCCGCCGGCGCAGCAGAACAAGCGCCTGAAGGGGCGCGGCGACGAGCCGGGGCGCGCCATGGGGGCGCAGCAGCTCAAGGAGAGCCTCTTCGGCGCCGGGAGTGAGGGGCCGACGG